CTCACTTAAATGGATCACGCTGTATATTAAACATCACAACAATTTTGACTTACAAAATACAATGTACAAAGTTACTCACAGGTAAGGTGTATAGGTACACCTTTATAATGGTATTGTATTATAAATCATATCCGCTTAGAATTACATTTCAAATGCAATGAATAAGCAATGCTTTCAAATTTATAATAATCAATATATGGTACAGCACTATCCTTTCCGAAGTAAACGAAGCGAGAATAGTGCTAAGCTCCTTGTCTCTGTATCCAGTATTTTTCAACGTAATTTTATATGGTACGGTGTAACGTATAATATTATTGCAAAAGGGGTACCTATATATTACTAATTTATTACTGTGATGTAGGACTTTGTAAAAAGGCCTATAATAAAATTAACTTACGAGTTACGGGTATATAACTATTTTGTACGTATCTATACAACTTTATATCCTTACTGTTAATTTTTATATTTTCATATCATAAATAAATATAAAATAAATTATCCTTCAATAAAATAAAGTTATTTATTATTTATATTTAATTACCGTTATATTCATATGTTATGAATGGCGAAAAAGTTATTACCTATAACACTTCACCAGTTCGGTTAGGCAGGATATTATTGTTTTGAACAATCAAAAGGTAATTTTAGTTCTAAAGTTAAATATATTATGACTATTAGCATTTTCTTTATCATCTATATTATATATAGATAAAAATGACCCATGATTTATCATAACAACTTCAATTTGTTTTTGAATTTGTATTTCCGTATGTCAATTATTATTGATCAGTTAATAAAACAAGGTATTTCACAATTTTATAATATTTAATAAGTTCTAAAATKTTTACATTATTCATAAACTATAGCCAATATTTTATTATTTTATTTGAAAAGTGATTCACAATACCATACTACAGTAGTTCATGAACAAAAATTAATTACGGTTTAATTATTTAAAAATATATTTTTTATTTAAATGAATTGAACAATTCTTATTTCACTGTTATTTTATTTAATACAAACTAAAATAAGTAATAACTATATGCGTGCACTATATGTACTTTAAAATGGTATGAAATATACATTGTATATTATATATCATTTATATAAGTAAAAATATTCTTTTTTTTCAAGTTTACATTATACCTATTAAACAAAACAAAACAAGTATTGATAGTAAGTCGACTTAAACAAATATTATATATTCAATTTATTTATACTATATAAATAAATAAAAATAAATAGTAATAAGATTAAAATTTCGATATGTATCAACTATATAAAAAAAATAAACATTTCTTGACAATCTTTTTATTAGTATTATGTGAGAAACTGTTTTTAATAAGTGCTGATGCTTGATCATGGAGGAATTATATATTAAATTAACAAAAGTTATTGCATTATTTCATACAGTTATTTGATTATATTGTAGAAGTTATTGGTAAGGCTTTAATTGTTTGATATTACAACTTACAAATAATTGATAAAAAGAGTGATTCGTTAATGAGTAATTTCACAGGTACGAGTACATACTGTCAATGTCTGTACTCACGCTTTTGCAGTACCTATATAAAATGTACAAAAATCGATACCAATAAGTCTACCTTATTATGTATACCGTAGGTTAGGTCCTAAGAAACAGGGAACACTTTATCGCTCATTACCCTGTAAATATCTTTCGATTCTGTTTGTGGGACATTAAACTAGACTAATCGATAATAAATTCCTATGAATTAAAATTTTTTTTAACTCATGTATTTTACGCATGCGCAATAAAAATTTATTTTGTTTAAATGGCAACCCCTATTTTAAATCTCATTTTTGGATTGATCGATTTTTTTCACGTCATTTTGATTAATCAATTTGTGTTGTAAACTCAAAATTGGTTAAATTAAAGCTATAAGTATAATTAAAAAAATCTTATACAATTTGAATTTTTAAAAATTTTTTTTTTTAATTGCTCGTATTATTTCCTTCTAAACCATTCAAAATCATTATTATTAAATAATAAATTATTTAATTTAATTTAATTTACAGAAATAACAAACATGTAAACGATGTTTAGAAGGAAATAATACGAACAATCAAATTTTATAAAATTTTTTTAATTAAACCTACATCACAAATTTAGCCAATTTTGAGTTTTCAACACAAGTTGATTTATTTAAATGCCTTGAAAAAATTTGATCAATCCGAAAATGATGTTTAAAATAGGGGTTGCCTTTTTAAAAAATATGAAGTTTTGTCACGCATGCACAAAATATGTGTTAAAACAATTTTAAGTGATAGAAATTTATCATTGATTAGTCTAGTTCAGTGTTTCCCAACCTTTTTTTACTCAACGCCCCTTTTAGATTTTAAAAATCTCACCCCCATATTTCTATGGTAATGGTTAAGTAGAGGGGGCCTAAACAATTTGAAAAAGTTAAAAATTACTATTGATTTATCAATATAAACAATTTGTAAAAGTGATTCAAGTATAATAAATACTACATTCAAGATAACTTATAGTTTTTATTTTTAAGGATTATTATCCTTAGTATAAACATTTTATTAACTCAGAAACTATACTCATTARAATTTTGATTTAGATACATCAAAATTAAAAAAAAAATCTTCAGCTAAATAATTTTCAGTAAAAAAAAGGGATTCCTCTTTGGAGAGATAAAAGACTTTGTATTGCCACAGTATACTCCATAAATACCTAGTACAAAAAATATCAGAAATTTGAGAATATTATCTTTAAGTCTACTTAAAAATTCTAAAATGTATTATGATAATTTATATTATTTTAAAAATAATAACATACGTACCTATAATTGTGTGAATAGGATTATGTTAAAAATAACTTTAAATGAGTTTTAATATTCCGTTGTGTATGGAAATAATAATATAGAATGGAAAAAAATGTGCAAGTTCCTTCAATTAATATTTAACAAAATAACATTAATTTATTATTGTTACACTATTCTATTCAATATTCAATTTTGTTAACATTTGATCTTCAAACGCTCTAAAATATAAATTTGAATTGACGTTTCAAAAGACTTCTAAGAAAGATAGTATCAAATTTTAAAGCTCTTTGACTAAAAATAATTATGTCGATGTAAAACGGACAAACAACCATCAAAAGTTATACATTTTAATCGTCTTTAAACAGTTCATAACAAACCAAATATTTTTAAAATGTATAACCTTATGTATGTTGCGTAAACTAATATAAATAGTTGGTGAAAATGTCAAGTTATTTATTCATTAGTTATTCATTTTTGAATTATAAGAAAAAAAAATTAAATATATTTTGTTGAAAACTGACGTTGCATGAAAAATCCCGTTTTTCATTATAATTATGTTTTTTTTTTTTATATAAATGACAATTTCTTTATAAATACATCACATAAAAATAAAAAAATATATTATCTACTCCTTTAAGTCTAAACTTGTGATGGAGTAATGAGGTAACATTTTTTGCATTTTTGTTTTTTAAAGTATTGGGAGTTTTCTACTTTTATATCTTACCACCAAAATACAAACAATTCCAATCGCTACCGCTGAAACTTGGTTGGTGAAAATACTTTTATTGTTTCAAGACATGACGATAGACATRAAAAATTATTTATTATCATATTAAGAGTGCGATACGCAATCATTTGTTGTCTCCGTCTTACGAGTGCATAACATTGTAAATTTATGTTCAGCAGATCACGTTTAACTCCTTTAGGTTAGAAATTAGAGTGAATCGACCTATTATAAAACTTGATGGTAAGAACATTATCTGTGTTTGAATGTCGGTTTTTTACGATAAATTAATTTTTCAGTGAGTTATGCGTATATAAAAAGTATAAAATAAAAATATTCACAACTCACCGAAAAATTAAATTATCGTAAAAAACCGACATCCAAACACAGATAATGTTCTTACCATCAAGTTTCATGATATAACAATTTACTCTAATTTTTAAACTAACGGAGCTAAACGTGATCTGCTGTGCATAAATTTCCTATGTTATGCACTCGTAAGACGGAGACAACAAACGGTTGTGTAGCGTCCTCTTAATTAACAAATATATAAATCCGATTGAAATATATAAGTATAAGTAATAAATAATAATGTAATGAAACATGAAACCAATTTTTTTTTTGCAATTATAATATATTGTTAAATTTGAATTGCAGAAATGTAGGTAATTTGATGCAAAAACAATGAGAGTAATAGTTAGTATATAACATTATATTATAAGTACGTATAAAAACAACAGAATAACATTTTAGAATATAGAATTAATATATATTTATTATTAACTATTAAATTTTTAACAAAACTGCTTAAAACGTAAATAATTCACTTTTTTTTTTGTTTATAATTTTGTTAAAAATAATAGTTATTTTATTTATTTGTTAAATTTCATACTTCTCAAGTTATAAATACCTATTAGCTACTATATTTTTCATACTTTTTTAATGCACGTGTAAGTTATACTCTACTTATTATAGTATAGTTATTAACAAAAGTTTAAAATAATGTGTATTCAATAAAAGTTAAAGATATTACACTAGGGGTAATATAGAAGTTATCTCATAAAAACAATATTTTTAAGATGGAGGTAATGCAATATACATGAAAAGTATTGATGCTACACGAAATACAACAATAAATTATAGTCTTTATTTAAAAAAAATGTATTTGAAACTAAAAAAAAACTGGGAAAATGGATATCGCTCTGCTGTACAGTAGGTTACAAGTGGGTTACTGTAATGGATGAAATTAAATTTGAATTCAATGATATTATATCATTGTATACGAAAAACGATTCTGAGCGGAATGGTTTATCTGTCAAGTATAGCAAATGCTTATATAAACATTCAGTGAAAATTACATGTACCCGCGTCATTTGTTTAAGAGTTACACCAAAATAAGAAATTCGCTAAATGAGAAATCTAGTGAAAATCCAATGTTGTAAAAATTTAAATTTCAAACTCTCTCTCTCTCTTCTGTGCCTTCACAACTCTGTAAGAGTTTTGGCTGCCACCGTCACTRTTCTCCARTAATCACGATCCTGTATCCTCTCCTCCCACTCTGTTACTTCTAACCTCTCTAGATCTTGTTGCACTCCGTCCATCCATCGTTCCTTTGGTCTGCCTCTGGGTCTTTTGCCTGCTGGCTTGTATTCAATAGCTGCTCTGACTTCRTTTGTTTCTTCTCGYCTCATTGCGTGTCCGAACCATTGTATTCTCTGTCCCTTTATATAACTTGTTATGGGAGGTACTTTGGTGATTTCTCTTATTTCCTTGTTTTTTCTTCTACGCCACCTGTTTATTTCGGTATCAAAAAACGGTCCACATATTGTTCTTAAAACTCTATTCTCAAAACTTCTGAGTTTTTGTTCGATTCGTACTGTTGTCGGCCATACTTCACCTCCATAGGTTAGCGTTGGTCTTACGATGCTCATATACAGTCGTACTTTGGTTCCT